CAGTCTGACTGGGGTAAGATGAAATCTTAAAGTTCTTTTAATTTGCTTTTCCCTAATTGCTAGTGATGTTGAAAACCTTTTAAGATGCTTCTTAGCCCTCTTTATTTATTCTTTTGAGAACTCACTGTTGAGTCCTTAGCACATCTTTTAATTGTATTACTTCCTTTCTTGATTCTTTGTTTTTTTGTGTTTGTTATATATTCTGGATGTTAAACCTCTGTCAGATGTGTTGCTGATAAAGATTTTCTCCTATTCTGTGCATTTTCTCTTCACTTCCTTTGTTGCTTCTTTTAATGTACAGAAGCTTTTTAGTTTAATGAGGTCCCATTTGATGATTCTTGACCTTGTTTTCTGAGCAATTGATGTCTGGTTTAGAAAATCCTTTCCTATACCTGTATCTTGTAGGTTATTGCCAATTTTTTCTTATAACAGTTTTAGAGGTTCAGACTTCACATTTAGGTCTGTGATCCATTTAGAGCTGACTTTTATGCAAGGTGAGCTATAGAGGTTTAGTTTCATTCTTCTACAGGTGGAGATCCACTTTTGCCAGCACCATTTGCAGAACATGTTGTCTTTCCTCCAGTGAATGTTCTTGGCCCCTTTGTCAAATATTGGGTGGCTGAAATTGCATGTACTCACATTTGGGTCTTCAATTGTGTTCCACTGATCTATGGGTCTATTTTTGCGCCAGTACCATGTTGTTTTTATGAATACAGCTCTGTAATACAGTTTAAAATCTGGTATAGTATTCCTTCCAGCATTGCTCTTAGTGCTCAGGGTTGCTTTGTCTATCTGAGGTCTTTTTTGGTTCCATATGAAACTTAGCATGTTTTTTTTTTCCAATTCTGTGAAAAATGTCATGGAGATTTTGATTGGCATTGCATTGAATCTATAAATATCTTTTGGTAAGATGATCACTTTCACAATATTAGTTCTTCCAATCCATGAGCATGGGAGGTCTTTCCATCTTCTGATGTCTTCCGCAATCTCTTTCTTTAAAAATTTAAAGTGTTCATTGTAGAGGTCTTTAATGTCTTTGGTCAGGTTTATTCTGATATATTTTATTTTAATTTTTTGCAGCTATTGTGAAGGGAAGTGTTTCCTTGTACTCTTTCTCTGTTTGTTACTGGTATATAGAAAGGCTACAGATTTTTGTAGGTTAATTTTGTAACCTGCCACTTTACTGAACTTTTAATATTTTATTTATTATTTTAATTTCATATGCATGAGTGTATTGTCTGCATGTGTATGGGTGCACCCATGTCTTGCAATACCCTAAGAGATCAGAAGAGAGCATCAGATCTCCTGGAACTGCAGTTACAGATTATTGTTAGCTACCATGTGGGTGCTGGGAACTGAAACAAGATCCTCTCCAAGAGCAGTCCGTGCTTTAAACTCTGAGCCATCTCTCCAGCTCTTCCTTATGATTTTTCTTTTTAAAATATTTTTATTTTATTATTTTTATTTTATGTGTATGAGTGTCTTCCCTGCATGTATGTGAGTGCACCCTTGCCGTGCAATGCCCCGGAGGTCAGAAGAGGGCGTCGGATTCCCCTGGAACTGGAGCTAAGGACGGTGAGTAGCTGCCATGTGGGTGCTGGAAATCGAATCCGGGTCCTCTGCAAGAGCAGTTAGTGCTCTTAACCGCTGAACTATCTCTCCATACTATGTTTATTTTATCTGTATGAGTGTATTGCTTGCATGTATACAAGTGCATCCCTTTGTGAAATGCCTGTGGAAGTCAGAAGAGGGTGTCTGATTCGCGCAGAACTGGAGTTATGGATGGCTGTTAACCAGCATGTGGGTGTTGGGAGTCAAACCTGGGTCCTCTGCCAGAGCATCCAGTGTTCTTAACCACTGAGCCATCTCTCCAGCTCCCATATGAATTTTGATAATGGCCTTTAGTGTTAGTTATAACTCCCCATTTTCCATCCTCTGCCCTGCTACTCCCCATCCCATTTAACTCTTCCTACTCTTTTAATCCCAATTCCCACTTTTCAGAACTGCAATCTACCACCATTCTCAGCAAGCCACCCCCCCCCCTTCATGCCTATTTATTAGTGTCCTGACTTCTCTGGATTTTCTAATTGAGACATGCATATCTAGAAATTTTCAAAGGTAGCATCCATATATGAAAGAGACTATGTGACATTTCTTTCTGAGTCTAGGTTACCTCATTTTCCTTGAATAGAACACCGGTATCAAACTTCTGCCTCCCAAGCCTCAGGGATCATTACGGAAGTGTGTGTATGGGGCGGAAGTGGGGGGCTTGGGGTGTCGGGGGTGGATGGTAAAATCCAGAGGTGATGGATGACCATAAGGAAATAGTTTTCGATTACTTATATGAACTCACAGCAATTGTGGCAGCATGCATAAAGTCATGCAAGCTAAAACAAGACAAAATCCCAGCATTAAGTAGGGAAGAGGGTAAGAAACTCCAGCACTACCAAAGGATCTCTTGGTAATGATTGCTGCTGGGAGGGAGGTGAGTCAGTCTCTTTCTAGAGTGTGACACTTTGTATTTTAGCCAGGCTTCATTGGATGGACACACACTGAAGGACATTTTGAAACACAAATTAGATTCTATAGGACCTATTTTATACATATATATATATGTGTGTGTATGTATGTATGTATGTATGTATGTATGTATAAAATAGAATACAGTAAGACGATTGGATATCAGGCAGTAAGGGGAGAGGCAGACATCAAATTGTATTCTATAAAAATTACAATATTTTGGTCTTTTTTGAGACAGGGTCTCCCAATAGCCCCAGCTGGCCTGGAACTCACTATGTAGACCAGGCTGGCCTTGAACTCACAGAGATCCGCGTGCCTCTGCCTCCTGAGTGCTGGGATTGAAGGCATGCGCCACCATGCCCGGCTCAATTAAAACTTTTAGTCCCACCGGACTCCAGAGAGTACAGAGAAATTTTTCCTGGGATTTAAAAGGAGAAAATTCTGTCCACCGCCACTGTCTCTGTGCTTTGAATAACAGGCTTCAATCGCCACAGTAGAGCTGGACAAACTACAAAATACCGAAACTCATTTCTCACATTTCTTACTAGTCTGCACGTTAGCTTGCAACTCAGTGTCTCGATGGATCTTATTGATGTTTCATCCAGCTATGTCTTTGCCGCTAGGGAAAATGGAAAAAAATGTGTAGCACTTGCATTTTTCACTCAATAATATGGTTGATTTTGTGCATTCCCTTGGCTGGGCGTAGCATTTGGATATTTGATCAAATGTTATTACAAATGTCTCTATACTATATTTTTTGTAGGTAAAATGAAAATATAAATCTGTGAATTATGTGTAACATAAAATACCTTTTTATTTACAGCTATCCCCCCCCCCCATTTTTTGTGGATGGTGGTCCTGGGGATTGAATGGGCAATGCAGGTGCCCTGCCACTGAGTTATGTCTCCAGGTCTATGAAGATTCCATTCCCATTATCAAAATGTCATTCTCTCCTAGCCCTCCCACTTGTGATCCTTCCTTGTAGAATTTGGACTTCCTGGAGTGCACAGTTGCTTGAGCTGTATTCTATTTCTGTTTCTGTAAAAAAGTACAACTATTGAAAATTTTGATAGCAGTTTTTAAAAGATGCACAGAATGATGGACAGGAAAATGAGTGTTGAAATGTTCTGGTTATCTAAATTTGCAGAGCAAACCATCACAATTATAATCGCACAAAGCAGTGTAAAATAAATTGTGAATACCCCCTCTTATATTTCTAGGGTGAACGGACTCACCTGGGTGGCTCCAGCTCATGGTTTCACTGGCATTTACCATTAGATGGAGGTTGGGTCGTTTCAGAGGCTTCCTCACTCACATGCCTCATGTTTAATGTTGCCTTTACCCCTCCAGCATCTTAGCTGGGGCTGTTGGCTTGGAAGCTTGCAAGTAGTTATCTTGTTGTGGCCCAGGCTTCTTCACAGCATACTATCTTGTTTTACACTTCTTATTATATTGTTTGGAGTTTATGCATCAGTTTCATTTAGAGGCCTGAGGGGTGTTGTTTCCCCTGGACCTGGTTGTGGACAGTCATAAGCCATCTGAAATAGGATCTAGTAACTGAACTTAGTTCCTATGCAAGATCAGTAAGTATTCTTAACCACTCAGCCATGTCTCCAGCACACAATAGCTGATTTATAAGAAACATTTTGTTTATTTTTTTAAATTTTTGTGTATGAGTGTATTGCCTGCATGTATGTAAGTGCATCTGTGTCATGCATTGTCCGCAAAGGTCAGATCAAAGCATCGTATTTCCCTGAAACTGGAGTTACAGATGGCTGTTATCCACCATATGGGTGCTGGAAATAGAACCCAGGTCCTCTGCAAGAGCAGTCAGTACTCTTAACTGCTGACCCATCTCTCTAGCCCTAATACCTAGGTTTCAAAAGCAAGAGAATAGGAAAACTGAGCAGAGATTGTATTACATTTCCACACTTAATATCAGAAATCATGTCATTTCACATCTTCTGCCTTCTAACATAATGTTTGTTCAATCACTAATGCTGGCATAGCACATCACAACACTAAAGTAGGTATCAAAGAATGTGTCAACTTCTCAAAAACTACCAAAAAGAAGGGCAAGCATATTTGAGTGTATATATACTAATCAGTTCCAGCTAAAGTTGTCATTACATTTTGAAATATGAGGTGTTTTACAG